TGGGTTGGGTTGGGGACCTGGAAGATCTTCCAGTCCTGGTTCTTCTGGGAAGAAGACTGGGAAAGACAACCCACCAAAGAAGGGCCACCTCCCACTGGGAAGGGCCACCTCCTGCTGGGAAGGGCCACCTCCCTCCAAGAAGGGCCACCTCCCGCTGGGAAGGGCCACCTTGGGCTCCATCCCGAGGCGATGGGGGGAGTCTGCCCCCTCTTCTCCGCTCTGGGAAGATGTCCCCTGTCTCTGGGGACACCAGAGGGACACGGAGATGAGGGGGACACTGGCCCAGGTTGCCCAGAGAAGTTGTGGGTGGCCCAGTCCTGGAGGGGGGGGGGCATCAAGGCCATGTTGGATGGGGTTTTGGGCAACCTGGGGTGGTGGGAGGTGGCTTTCCCAGTTGGGAGGTGGCCCTTCTTTGGTGGGTTGGCTTTCCCAGTTGGGAGGTGGCTTTCCCAGTTGGGAGGTGGCCCTTCTTTGGTGGGATGGCTTTCCCAGTTGGAGGTGGCCCTTCTTTGGTGGGAGGTGGCCCTTCTTTGGTGGGAGGTGGCCCTTCTTTGGTGGGAGGTGGCCCTTCTTTGGTGGGAGGTGGCCCTTCTTTGGTGGGAGGTGGCCCTTCTTTGGTGGGAGGTGGCCCTTCTTTGGTGGGAGGTGGCCCTTCTTTGGTGGGAGGTGGCCCTTCTTTGGTGGGAGGTGGCCCTTCTTTGGTGGGAGGTGGCCCTTCTTTGGTGGGAGGTGGCCCTTCTTTGGTGGGAGGTGGCCCTTCTTTGGTGGGAGGTGGCTTTCCCAGTTGGGAGGTGGCCCTTCTTGGTGGGAGGTGGCCCTTCTTGGTGGGAGGTGGCCCTTCTTGGTGGGAGGTGGCTTTCCCAGTTGGGAGGTGGCCCTTCTTTGGTGGGAGGTGGCCCTTCTTTGGTGGGAGGTGGCCCTTCTTTGGTGGGTTGTCTTTCCCAGTTGGGAGGAGGCCCTTCCTGGCAGGGGGTGGTCCTTCCCAGTACAACTGGGACTGGAAGATCTTTCAGGTCCCTCCCAACCCATTCCATAATTCCCCAAGATTTCCCCACTGACCCCTTCCAACAGCCCAGTAGCCCCAGGGTTGTCCCCACCCCACGGTGTCTCCACCCCACGATGTCTCCATCTTCACCCCAAGGTCTTGATGTTCCTCTTCTTCCTCCCCCCTCAAGTTCTTCCCACCCCATGGTGTCTCCATCTTCACCCCAAGGTCTTAATGTTCGTCTTCTCCACCTTTGGTGGGAGGTGGCCCTTCTTTGGTGGGTTGTCTTTCCCAGTTGGGAGGAGGCCCTTCCTGGCAGGGGGTGGTCCTTCCCAGTACAACTGGGACTGGAAGATCTTTCAGGTCCCTCCCACCCCATTCCATAATTCCCCAAGATTTCCCCACTGACCCCTTCCAACAGCCCAGTAGCCCCAGGGTTGTCCCCACCCCACGGTGTCTCCACCCCACGATGTCTCCATCTTCACCCCAAGGTCTTGATGTTCCTCTTCTTCCTCCCCCCTCAAGTTCTTCCCACCCCATGGTGTCCCCATCTTCACCCCAAGGTCTTAATGTTCTTCTTCTCCACCCCCTTGTCCTCCCCAAGTTCTCCCCACCCCATGGTGTCTCCACCCCAAGATCTTGATGTTCCTCTTTCCACC